ATGATGAATAGTAGTAGTCTCTGTGGTTCAACTATATTCCCTCTATTGCCTCTTACGGAATGGAACAATATGGGATTATGGCTGTTTTTAAACCGCCACTATGCAATAAAGGAGAGACTTCAGACCCAGTCTATGTACACTATACCGTAAAAAAGTGAAGAATTCAGGGATTTAATTAAAAATAAAATAAGAGATTAAATCAAACTAAATAACTTGCTAAAAATAAGAATGAATCCCAGGATTTTGATGCTTTCACAAGATGGCGCCCTTCCAGTCATAAAAAAGTCGCGGTTATTTGTCAAAAGTCATTTCTGACAAGTGACTTGTCATGAAATAATATAGGTAACGTGATATTTTTATTTATTCCGAGCTTGGTCGTGTAGTTGTGAACTCCTGAATGCGTTTGTTGTGTACATGGTGAATTTCTTTGGCGATTTGGTTTAGTGATAAGGATACCACAGCATTTCAGAATATAAATAGCCATCAATGGGTGCGTTTGGCAGAAAAAAGCGCTAGCAAGCAAATGGCGATCGTAAGCGGTAAGCGCTGTCAAATCGTAAGTAGCTATTTTCCTCTAGGACACGAAGTTAGTTTTAACAGGGGAACGTAACCTAATTTAAATATGTGTTTGTAAAGTATTCATATTAAAGACTTATCAATCATGAATTTTTAATAACATCTTTATGGTTATTCATGTCATTATATTACTTAAAACTAATATTGCACAAAACAACTTATAAACTCTACTTCAAAACAAATAAATTAAATAAGCAAAATGGCGGATTGTGTCAGCGCTACTGAAGTTAGCAAACGTGTCCTGGCCGAAAACTGTTTTGTTTCGCAATTTTGCTTACAAGCGTTTGCTAGCGCTTTTTTTCTGCCAAACGCACCCAATAAATGGATCAATAACCTCATGACAGTTAAGGGAAATATTAAAACTACTACCTCAAATGGCTCAGCAAGCTCCTCCGTTATGCCGAAAATATCGTAGCATTAATTTTGAAATAATATATAATTTATATAAATAATATATATAATAAATATATGTAAAGTTGAGGATTATGTTAAGTACTATGTTAGATGAAAACACGATTCCGTAAAATTTTCTAGATAGAAAAAAAATCTGAAGTTACCTCCAAACTGAACAATAAACCGCTGCTATTCATAAAATACTTTAAATTAGATCATGAAACTTTGCATACTAACTGAACTAACTATAAAGCAGGGCTTATGTTTTTTATTTATTTTTAATTACCATTATTTTCAGGCTACTCCAACTTTAATATAAAAGTCCATTTTATAAAGGACGCCAAAATAAAATAATCCGCATGCAAAAATGAAATACCTGCAGAGCAGTGGCGAACTTCCATTAAAGCCGAAAAGCCGGGCTTGCCTTATTAAACATGAATCAGTCAATAATATCAATCAATAATATCAACTAATAAAATAACTCGTAAAATGTTTCAAGCTATTTCAAATTTCCCGCGCACTCCACTGTTCGACACATGTCGACCGATGACCTCGTATTGCCTTAGCGATACTGCTGCTGTCATAAAAAATGAGTTTTAATAGACCTAATAGTTGTCTCCCTCGCTCTCGTGGGCTTTTTACGGGGCTTTCGAGGAGACGATCGCTCTCTTTCTAACCTATGGCAAAATATTCTATAATGAAATATAACTACGATTGTAAATGTAGCAATTAGTATAGAGATTTAAAACCAGGCTTTTGGGAATAAATTTATTAAAAACAGATACCCACAGGCAATACGTTTGCAAGTTCATTTCACGTTTCAATGTTTATTTACTCTGTGTGCTTATCTTAAGCGATTTAATATTACGAGTTCAAAATTTATGCTTTTTTAAAGATTTTTAATGAAAATGGAAGATAATAGTGTTCCTTGTGATGAATTGAAGTGTGTTAAAGTGATAATCGGAGAGGAAATCTTTAAACTTTGTTGAGATAATACACAAGGTTAAGAGTGTATTTCAGACTTATCAATTATCGCAATTAAAAACAGTTATTGGTACAATTAAAACGTTCACCAACATTTTACGTGGACGTAATTAAATCTTTCCATAAGAAAGCGAGACGATTCCACTTATCTTATAATATCTCTTATCCATTAGAATGTAAATTTTTTTTTTTTAATTTTGTACATAGTTTGTTTGTACTTTGTTCGTGTTTTACTTTTGTACATGTATTGTATTGGATGTAAATATTTTTTTCTTTCGCTTAAACAAACCCAAACGGCTTTCTTCAAAGCCACCGAAGCTATGCATTTGCTGATATGTAATACAATCTATCTAGCAGTGGTATGCCTTCTGTGTGCTTTGTTAAACACGTCCTTGACAGCACTGAATATGAAACTGAAGCGTGGAGACAGATCAAGATTTGTGTATTTTTATAAAACTGCTAAAAACAACAATCTATATTTTTATCAATTTATATCTTGGGCTTGCCCTAGCTTGGAGCTCTAGCTTCGCCATTGCTGCAGAGTTTCTTTAAAATTTGCACCTCCAAGCTGAATAACCTCATTTTATAACGGGTGTAGCCGGCCATGCCCATCCCTGAACCTGTTACATATATTTGATATGTCTATTATACCCCCTACTAGTCCGCTGTTATATAGAGGTCTCTCCTAAAGCAGTTAAGTAAGTAATCGCCATTATCGGCAGATAAATTGACATTTGCACTACCAGATGTCGCATCTTCGATGCTGTTTCCCGTCCCCAGTCTGGGTATTGTAAACGGCCTACAGTCTACAAGAATTATCAACATTTTAGCAACCCTGAAACTGAAACTTGTAATTATATTGCTGGTTTTTTCCCTTTTCTCTCGAATTTACCTCAATCGTCACGCTTGGCAAATGGATTAACTGTCGGAATGCCAGAAGTTTTAACTTTGATACCGTTTCTCGTCGTCTATCTGTGTATTTTAGGCCTGGTGTAAAGAAATGGCTATACTGCTATCTATCGGAAAAAATAAATTCCATAGTTGCTTATTTTTCAACTATTGTAGTTATTTTCTATAGGATGCAGAGTTTAGGGAAAATTAACAATCGATTGTGTGCTATTACTAAGGATTTTTCAAAATTATCTACAATTTACGTATACATCCTTTTTTTTATACCGTAAAGGTACTCAATCGGACTTGAACTGCAAACATCTATTTGTTTTGCCTTGTTTCGTCAATCGCAATGCTGATTGGTAATCATCATTCATCATTACAGCCCTTCACAGGTCCACTGCTGAACTATGCTGTTCTGAGCCACAGGCATCTATCGACTTCCTGCATTTCTTACCAGGTCGTCACTCCACCTAGTGGGTGACCCACCCTACACTTCGCCACTCGAGGCTGCCACTCGAGAAACTTTTTTCCCTCATCGGTTGTCGATTCTTCGAGCTTTATATGGCCCGCCTATTGCCACTTCAGCTTACCAATCCGTTGGGCTATATCAGTCACTGGTTCTAAGTTTATCACGCAGAGAAACCCCGAGTATAGACCTCTCCATAGCTCGCTGAGCGACCTTGAGCGTTCTCATACGGCCAGCAGTGAAGGACCATGACTCAGTTCCATAAGTTATCACTAGCAACACGCACTGGTTGTACAGCCTCGTTTTCGGTTTTGAGATTTAGCTGACGAGTAAATGTGTCGTATTTTCCCGAACGCTGCCCAGCCGAGTTGAATCTGTCGATTGACCTCTCAGCCGAAGTTGGACTTACCTAGTCGGACTATTTGTCCCAGGTAAACGTACTCGTCAACAACTTCAAGCTTAGTGCTTCCAACAACTACCGGCATAGGTGTGACATGGACATTAAACATGATCTTTGTTTTGTCTATGTTCCTCTTAAGACCTATTCTTTGGGAGGCACTATTGAGGTCATTGAGGATAGTGCTTAGGTCCTCCAACGATTCTGCCATAAGAACTATATTGTCGGCAAATCGAAGGTGAATGATGTACTCGCCATTGATGTTAATACCGTATCCTTTCCTTTGAAGAGTTTCAGGAATATAACATCATCTTGCCTTACACCTCTCTGCAGTTGGATAGGTTTCGAACTCTGGTTCTGTACTCGGATAGCCATCGTAGCCCTACTGTACAAACACTTCAGCACTTCGACATACCGACAGTCAACTTGGCGTCGCTGAGGGGACTGTAGCACCGCCCAAATTTCGACGGAATCGAAGGTTTTCCCAGAGTCCCCATATGCCAGGCAAAGTGGCAGATTGTACTCTTCTGTGTTCTGTACAATTTGTCGGAGGGTATGTATGTGATTTATGATACTATGCCTTTTCGTTAACGGACTTGTTTGGGAGGCTGGAAGTCGTTGAGGCTGCGTGCGAAACGATCCGTAATGACTTTTGAAAACAGCACGTAGACGTGGTTCAGAAGAGAAATTCGGTCTGTAGTTCCTCAAGACAGCGTTGTCTCCTTTCTTGAAGAACAAGACCACCGTATTTATGCTACACGTCTCCGGCGTAGTGCCACCATGGAAGACGGAATTAAAGAACTTCTGAAGCACTTGAAGTACCGGTTTTCCAACCGCTTTCAGAAGCTTCGTTGTAATTCTATCCTTGCCTGGGAACTTGCTGTTTTTTAGGTGCTGGAGTTTAGACTGTCGTCCGGGATATCATTGGAATGTCCATCAAATAGCTACTTGTTAAAACGATTTTGCTTATGAAAAATAAAGGATCTCAATAAAATAAATGATCAAGAATGTAATTTAATAGCATATCTTTCATATTATCTGAAAATACCTGATTATCGCTTAAAAATTCGAATGACAAAGTTTTTCCCGGCCATTTAATTATATTTTTTTATCATCATCACATCACGTTATTCTTACACAAGTCCCAAAGGAGTATATAAGTCCATTGCTGGTTATAGGCCTCAAGGAATGACACAAATTCTTTATGTCGATTAACGTGAGTAGAATAAGTTGAGTATTTTATGTGCGCGCATATTTGACATGGTGTTAAGTAGCGGTGTGTGGTTGCAGCGGAGCCGCTGCCGCTGATGGAGCTGTGCCGGCGCGTGATCCGGCAGCGCGTGGGGCGCGCGCGCCTCCGCAGTGCAGCGTCGCGCCTGGCGCTGCCGCCCGCGCTGTCCGCCTACCTGCTGTACCGGGCGCCCTAGCCGCCGCCCCGCCCGCACCCGCACCCGCCCAACTCTCTCTATACTTTCATTCCTAACGACACTCGGTAAAACTAACGTACGCGTTGCTACTCACTATCCATCCATTACAAACTATACTAGTTCCATGCTGAACGTAGGTGATTTTGCCATAGTTGCCACGATTGGCAATTTTTTATTACTTTCATCTGTGATCAAAAAACGCTACTGCCCATTAAATTTCTATCTGTCGCCTCTACGATACCCACGGTACGATAATGTGGAAGTAGATATTGTTACACCGCCACTCCACGGTTCGTTGCTACTATAGAGAATACAAATTGTAAAGCATGGATACGACGGGGGACGAATAATGTTCGCCATCCACCTACGCCTATGTACAAATCATTAATTCTTATCGTCGTCCCATCGCACTTACTCATAACAACGAGTTGGTTAAAACAGAGCAGTTACCCTCCACACTAATGACATTTTCATATTTAAATATTCCTATCTGTCGGTCAAGTTACATTACACGTACGTGAGATTGACTTTTAAAGAAAAATAATGTTACATTTCTCTTACTCCTCTACACCAAATCAATATCGTGTATTTAATATGCATGGTGGTACAAATCTGTACATGATATTGATGCGTATTACTTTTCACCTTAACTATTTTATTGGATGAAAAAAAACAACAATGAAACGTTATATTACCGTGTGACGTTAAAAGTCGGAGTACACTAAAAAGATAGTCCTCGGACGCGGCATCATTTTCACAAATTTGATATCTATTGTCAAATTCCATACCTTTTTTCCATACCTTAGATTTAATGCACATATTTTCCGCGTAACTTCTTTCATGGCGTTGACTCCATCTCTGCTCCACCGCTGCTAGCACACGGCATGCTCTTGGCCGCAACTGTTTACGCAAAGGAAATAAAAGACTCGCATGCAATTTTATAAAACGAGGTCAATACGCTTTCACGAAAGTAAACGAAAAGACGTATGCACGATGTCACGTTGGCGGGTATGGCGATAGAATTAATCAATTTTTTATGACTTTGTACGCGTTTGCCTCACTCAGTATACATGTACCTAAAAACAAGTTTCGACTCCATCGTAAGTGCTAAGCCTTAAATATAATTAATCGCAAGTCATGTTGCAATGCGGTGCCGATGTATGCTCGTGCGTATGTGCAGTCAAAATGAAAAAATGCGGGCGCGACTACTGCGGTTAGGATTGCAATATTATGGATCTGAAAGTGTACCAATTGCAGAACGATTTTTTTTTTTTAAATATTTTTTTTAATAAATCAGGAAAATTAACCAAGAACATTAACTATCACTGTCGTGGATCTTTATATATATATATATATATATATATATATATATATATATATATATATATATATATATATATATATATATATATATATATATATATATTAAGTTTAAATATATTACTAAACAAAATCTCCTAAATCGTAACTCTAAAAATATTGTTTTCAATCTTGTGTATAGTTGCCGACACGAGTCCTGAGCACAGATAAACTGTGGTGGGAAGTAGGTACACTGTCGGGCAAAATTATTGGGTTACTTTATTATTTCAATTCGTAATTGAATATTTTTGTCGACTTTTATGAAAATGTTCACTCGAACACATCAACTTTTACCTTGATACAGTACTGTTGCAGATATTCGTGTCCGTTAGTTTATTATCTACTATAAAATATTTAATGTATACCTGGTGGTTAGAATTGATTATTTTATTAAGAGGAAGGAAGAGGTGATATGCCTTCAATAAAATCTGGTGTTGCGGTGCGCCGTACAGTTACTACTGAGACATTAGTCGCCTCAGCAGTCTGTTTATATACGTCTATGATGTTTTTCGTAGTACCTAATTTTTCCATCTAACTAAACACTGAATAGACCATTTGTCGGGATTGTCTATTTAACACCGAATCCTTCCTTCTCTGCATATTTAGAACAAAATCTGAACACTCAAATTATAACAACAAAAATAATTGAAAACAAGAAATAACAAAACAATTAATAACAAGGAATACACAAACAACAATTAACAACGAGGTAACAAAAACAATTAACGAAAATTAACTAATTAAAAGAGTTATCACTAAAATTATTGCTCTGAAGTGTACGGAAGCCGAATGATACGTTCGAAAACAATAGACGACGAGATCAACATCGTATCGACCAATAAAAAGTGTGCTCACGACTTATGTCGGCAATTATACGTATATATTATCCACTTTGAAACTAACAATATAACTGACGCTTGCTAGCGTGAAAATTGTAATTTTAATACGTTTACCTTTTTAATACTATTAAATATCCTATGATATAAAATGCAAGTGTAGCAGTTACACTACGCATAATACATTTGAATATAATCTAAATGTTACTTTACAAACTCGTTTTGTAATTGGTGCAAGTTAAAAAATGTAATAATTACAGTAACACACTTTGCAACGATTCCAACATGCATATTTTTTATTTTAATATTATCTGTGATAATTATACTTTAAATAACAAATTAAAAATCTGCTGATTTATCATTAAATCAATGTATTATCTTACGATCTACTTTTTTATACAGAATTGACGTATGTCGGTTTTTGAACAGAAAACTCGTTGTAATACAGTTTTAAACAGGGAGGGCTAATAATATGGTACCATTTCGTTACCGATTATTACATTATGGGCGAATAATATGTAAATGTATTTATAGGTTATTCATGGCATTAATTAATAACCAAATTTTTTCTTTCACTATAATTGCAAGCCGCACACGTTTGAAGCCATATTGATCTCTCGAATGGTAACCTGCGATGTCTGGGACTCGACTACCGCAGGCGTCCATGTCGTACTTGTCTAGAAATAATTCAGAATGAAACACCAACACAACTCACGAGCCTCTGCAATTATTAATATGAGAGATGTCTTTGTTATTATTACAATAGCGTTCCACGGACGACGGTTGGACGTCGCCCGTGCACTAGGCCAGTGTACCGTTGGCAATCTTACATAACTATTTTATAGCTCATTAAGTGACTGGTTTATTTTTTAGTTTAGTATTTTTAATTCCTATTGTAATTGTAAAAACGTGTGACTGTGTGATGTATATATAATTATATATCTACTTGGATACACAAATCGGGCTCAGTGTGAACATGTCGCACAAGAGTCGCTTTAGTTGTACAATTCTGAAAATATTTTGCGAAAATAATTTTGGTGCAATCGAATGCCCAATAATGTCTCCGCGTTACGTCTTCTTTTGTAATTTAGATGAATTGATATAAAACGCAATAAATTGATGATTAGTATTTTCAAAGCACTATGTTAAGTGTCCGCCATTTTTTTATCCAGGTTAGTTGTTAAAACCTTTATAAATAAGTACTTCCATTTTAATAAGATTTTTTCATATGTAGAGTGTACGGCAAGTAGACATTCAACGTGGAGCTCACTTTTATACTGGGTTAATATTCACATTTTATCTCAGGATCTTATAAATATTATATAATGAAATATAGATTCAATTGAAAAGACAGACATTGCTTTATTTTGTAATAATACGAGTTTTATGTGAATATTGACATTCGTGAGTAAACTATGATAAACTGCCAAATGCGAAATGTATGAGGTATGTGTATGTTAGAGATTGGTATGGTTGTTTATTTGAATGTGGTGAGTGAATGTCGAGTGAGGTGTGTGCGAAGAAACCGTTGTGCGTTAGAAGGTTATTTTCGTTGTGTAAGAGATATAATCATGGTATAAAATACACCAAGATTGATGTACTGTTAACCTGTCCTTTACAATGGACTCCTTACCGCGACCAATACTTGAAAGCTAACATTTAGTTATTGTTTGCATCTGTTTGACATAACTTAGGAGTGCATTGCAAAGGATTAAAGTAAATATTAGTGAAAATAACCGTTTGAAATCTGTGAACCGTCGAACTTAGTCTTGTATATAAATATATGATTTTGCGGTGTTTAATGAGTTTATTATTATAAGTGGAAAAGCATTTTAGGTTTTTAAGTTTTAGGCAATATTTTTAAATGGTCGTTTGTATCAGACAACTGCGATTGAGAGTCCGAATCTCTTAGATACAATGATTTAAAAAAAAATAGGAAAACGATTGGAATAAATATAACTGGTTAAGAAAATAATAAATGATATGAACTACAAATGGATTTTTATTGCTTCGTTCTAATCCTCGATTTTTTTTATTTACAAAGCATGTAAAAACACTTTTATAAATAACCCTTCTTTCGAATATAAATGACCCTAAAAGTACAGCATACAATAGGGTATTACACCCATTTTCAAAAATTGTTTTAAATTAATCCTAGAGTGATAATGAACCACTATAATTTTAATATATTTTTTTAAACCGAATAATGCCATAAAAATTACTTTTAATCTTAAAATTAAAATTTTCGTGTAAAAACGCTAGCCGCCATGCAATTCAACTCGTGACGTCATTGTCTTCGATGTGGCCGATTTTGCAAAGGAATGATACTTTCTAATGTTTAATAATTAGTTCTAAGAGTAAGAGTAATCTAAATCATTGTTGTGTTGTGCCTCAATGCAAAAATACGAGCATAAGGACGCCGGGAAAGTTATGGATTCAAGTGCTAAGTATTTAAATATAAGAAATACATTGTCAAAACCAGACTATTCTTCTGTGAAGATCATTTTGATGTAAGTATGACATATAATTAACTATCGTTTAATACAAAACAAAACATCATGTGGTGAAGGGTATCGCAAGTCAAATTTTGTAAGTTGGTAATAGTCACAGAACTAGTAATAATAAAAATTATTACGATTTCTGTGGTAATAGTTCTTATATTGATTTTTTTAACGTTGCTCAACTCAGCAGAACAAAAATTGGGATTGCATGCTGCAAAAAAATTTGCCATCAATATATTTAACCTTAGTAGATTAGTACTTTCTGTTTTTACGAATTCGTCTTCCATGATGCCTTTTCAATCAA